ATACCTAAAAAACCCTTCAGATTTAATATCTTTATCTTAAATATTCAGAAATCAACAACAACCAAGAAAGTCCAGTGGCCTTTTGAACAGAACCTTTGGGCCAGCCCTGACCTGGAAGATTGAGAATCTCCACAGACAGTGAGGACCATTAATGGGTGGGATGGCTTGACCCCAGAAGCTGTGGAAGCTCCATCAATGGAGCTTTTCAAGGCATTTCTTTGTCCAGAATGGTATAAGGTCTCCTGCCTTGGCCACAGGGTTGGACTAGAAGACCTCCAAGGTCCCTTCCAGACCTATGATTCTATGACAATTCTAAATGCTGACTGCTAGTAAAGATTCTCTGGATTCAAAAAGGTGGAAATTCCCTGATTGCAGATTCCTACCTTTTGTGCTCTTTAAAGAGGCTGACTATTCATTTTGGTAATATTTGCATTCTAGGAAAAACTCAGAGGACATTAAAAGGCATCCGTTTTAAACATTTAGATTTTTAAAACATAGATTTGGTTGTGTTTTTTTTAAAAAAGATCTTTATATGTGCAGCAACCCTGATATCTACTGTGCAGGAGTCTCAATGCACCCTTAAACACATTCTAGATACAGTATTTGTTTTCTGTCTGCATATAGTCATGACCCCAGAAGCTCTTCAGCTGTGAATCAGACATGAACAGCGCCCCTAGAGTCAGACACAACTGGCAGGGGAAATATTTACACTTTTTTAACTCCTCTACTCTCTGAAAGGAGAAATCTCCCACTGTTTCCTTTACAGAAACTTGGGAGGATCCCTAATAAGTCTCTTGCTCCACCTATTATGCAGCTGTGGGGCCATCTTGTCTCTTGTGTGACTGCTCCCTCTCTTTGCCCAGTCTCCCAAGGTCTTTCCCACAAATAAATTACTGTTTCTGATTCAAAGGATACTGGATACTGGAAATGCCATTCCTTCCTATTTTCTTGCTTGTCATCAGAACAGTGTGTGTAAAAGAACGTCTGGCAACAGAAACGCAAAGTTTACTCTCTTTCCATTGGCAAAATCCACATAACTGGTGAGCTTCATTTAGTTGTCTTGTTCCCAAAATCGTCTGGCCAAATGTGAGATGAAGAACTATCAAACAATGTTACCGTACATTACATTCTTTAATGGCTGCAGAAATTCATCTTCAAAACATTTATAATATTGACTTGTAGGTCCATCTGGGCCAGGGGCTTTCCCTAATTTTATTTATCTTATAGCCTCTAATATTTCAAAGGTAGTTATTGGCATATAAAGACCAATCACTATTGATTTTGTTCCATTAAATTCAATTTCCACTGTTACAAATCTACCATATTCATCTGATAAAAGTAGCCTAGGTTTAAATTGGGGTTTTATATAAAAAACACTCTATTAATCTTTTATAGCCCAACAGATATAAAATCCTCCCCATGTCTTTTATTTGCTAAATATTTCTGGACTTGTTTTTAATATGTGTTTCGTGAAGACAGATTATATGAGCATTAAGTTTTCTCAAATAGTGAAACACTTTTTTAGGCTCAGATGGGGTTTTCGAGAAGAGATTGGACAGCCATTTGTCTCTACAGGGTCTCCTGCCCTGGGCAGAGCTTGGAAGAGAAGACCTCCAAGGTATCTTCCAACCCCATTGTTCTATGATTGCTCTTGGTTATCTGCAACTGACAATAGGTCTGTAATTATATTATGGGAGTTGCACAATGTGGGTAGTGCTGATATTCAGAGGTCTCCAGGGACAGGTCCTGGTTCCAAAGACTTAAATCTGTCCCTTCTTTCTTTGATGCCTACTTTCCAAGAAAAATAAGACTTTAATCCCAGTGCAACAATGCTGTAAGTGTATTTGAAATGGCTGCTGCCAGTTATGGAATATTGTGTCTTGGCAAGAAAACACTTCTTCACGTGTACAGTAAACATCTTCCTCTTATCCAGATGAAAACATCTTACTGACAGCTCATGAATGACAAATGAGACCTTGTTCTCCTTCCTTTTCTATTGACCTTGTGACTTAGGAGGGCTTTCAGCCTGCAAAGTCTGTGCCCACATAAATATTTTCAGTTTTTCTTGCCTTGTAAAGAAGTTTCTATCAACTGATGAGTGGGGTGAAAAGAATATTAACTTCCTGAGTACTAAACAGAATGATTCGGAAAGATGTGCAGATTAAAGGTTTAGAGATCAAGAGAGAAATTTTCAAATTGCAAGCCTTTGCTGACGATCTTGTTTTTATAATCGAAGAGCCACCACAATTAGGGATAAGGCTAATGGAAGTACTGGGTGAATATGGTGAAATGGCAGGCCTAAAGATAAATAAGGAAAAAAACTAAAATGCTCGTGAAGAATATGATTAGAACACAGAAAAATGAATTAGCTGATAGATTAGGCATTCAGATCACAAAGAAAATAAGATACTTAGGGATACAATTAACAGCTAGGTGTGTGACAATTAAAAGAGACAATTATGATAAATTAATGGAACAGATTAAAACTGACTTGGATACCTGGACAAACCTTCAACTCTCTTTTATGGGTAGAATTTTTTCGAAATTTCAACCAATCCATACTTAAATTCATTTGGCAAGGAAAAAAAGCAAGGATTAAATTAAAATTATTACAGGATGCTAAGGAAAGGCGGGGTCTTGGTCTCCCTGAGCTGGAAAAATACTATCAATCTACAATTTTACTATGGGTGCGGGATTGGATTCGATTGGAAAACCGGAGATTATTAAAATTGAAAGGTCATGACATGCAGACTGGATGGCACACGCTATGTTATGGGATGAGAAATATAAAGTTCACCAGTACTTCTGGAGACACTACATTAGATGGGTGTTAATAGATGTATGGACCAACAGAATTATAGGCAAGTTCCCAATTGGATTTCAACATTAGAAATGTATATACACCCAATGTTTATCCAGTTAGGGAAAGTAATAACTTATAAAAACATATTAGACGAGAGAGGAGAATTAAAATCGAGGAAAAATCTTCAAGATGCAGGGATAGAATTAGAATGGTGGGCGTACCTCCAACTACAAGCAAGATATAGGAAAGACAAAAAAGAGTGGGGTATAAAAATAGAACCGACAGAACTAGACAAAATATTATTAGGGCCCAAGGATAAAATGATTAAAAAAATATATCACTTTCTTTTAGATCAGGCAATGTATGAAGAACAGGTCAAGGAGACCATGCTAATTTGGAGTAGGGATTTTGGTTTCAGTATCGATCTGCATATTTGGCAAGAACTGTGGGAAAGAAATAGGAAACTCACTCTAGCTACCTCATTCAAGGAAAATCTCTATAAGATGTTTTATAGATGGCACTTCCCACCAGTAAGGTTAGGCAAAATGGGTCCAAATATCTCACCTTTATGCTGGAAATGTAAAACAGCAATAGGATCATATGTGGTGCGAATGCTCAAAGGCTTGTGAGTATTGGAACAGGATAAAAAGATGGCTGAAAGATATATTAATGTTGGACTTAGAGTTAAAACCTGAACTTTTCCCGTTGGGAATAACTACAGAGAAATACAATAAGGGAACAATCTATTTGCTGTTACATATCTTGACTCCAGCTAGGCTAGCGTTCGCGCAAAAATGGTAGAGCAAAGAAATTCCCACAGAAGAAGAGACATTATATAAAATATTATCATGTGCTCACAATGGTATTGAAAGACAAATGTAGATCAGTTTATTTCGAAACCTGGGATAACTTTTACTGCTGGAGGGATTCGAAGAGAACAGTTGGGATTATAGGCTAGTGTTAAGATAGAAATATATGTAATTTTAGGTTAGCAAATAGAGAAATAGATTAAGTATTGTATATAAAATTTAGATGTATATTCAGAGATGAAGAATCGATTGTAAAATGTGGAATAATTTGATAAGAATGTATATACTGGAATGTCATGTTATATCCAATGTTTTTTTTAATTGTATTGTAAGTAAAATTTAAAAAAAAAAGAAAAGAAAAGAATATTAACTTCCTGGAGAAAATACTTCATTAAGATTCCCTGCCTAACTTTTTTTTTTTAACTTTAACATACAAAAAAAAAAAAAAAAAGAATGATCCAAGCACGCTTTGAATCATTTGCAAATCTACTTAGGTCTATCAAAGTAGATTTTCCTCTTTTCCTTTTCATTCACAATTTGCCTTTAACAGGAGGGTGGGTAGTGCACCTTTTTCTACACTCATCTTTATTGAGACCTGGAAGAGGCAAAAGGAGAGATTATAGGGGGAAAGTGGGTCCTCTTAAGGTAATTGAAATGATTCACTCTGCTCTGTGATTCATCTCAAAGTTCCCCTTCAAATAGCCTTTATAGGATAACAGGAATCATGGAGATCTTCTAGTCTAGCCCCCTGCTCAAACAGGAGATCCTATACCATTCCAGGCAAAGGGTTATCCAATTTCTTCTGAAAAACTTCCCATCTTGGAGCACCCACAACTTCTGAAAGCAAGCCATTCCACTGATTAATTGTCCTCACTTTGAATGCATATTATTGCAGCTGACATTTGCATCAACATATAAATCTCTTGTTTCAGAAAATGGAGGGGCTGTTGAAGGAATTATAGGAAGAGACAACAAAAGTTCTTGAGTTCTCTACAAAGTGAGAATCTATTATGGCACAGAGGGTCCCCCCCCCTGTAATGAAATCAGGGATCCCTTAGGCAAATGCATTTACATGGATTCAGTCTATGCTCGCAATATTGAAAGGAGGCTAGATTGCTCCCAAAGTGCCTCTTACTCACAAAATACTGTAAAAACCAACTCTTGGCATTTAAGACCCCATGCACCAGAGGCCCCAAACATGTGAGCCAGGGAATGGTCTGCTGTGACCAATCAATCACCTACTTTGGGCTTTTCCTTTGGGGATGCCTTGAACGAACCCTTTCAGCTGCCATTTTTGGAGTGACATGCGCTAAGCCAGCTGGAAAACTGCCCTCCAGTAGTATTGTTACAACTCAGAATTTGTGCAAATCCTTTAGCAAATACCTTCTCATATGAGGGCATGAATGAAGCTGAAGGACTCATTCCTTGCTTCTCATAGTCAACAGAGGAAGAGCTCAGGTTGGCTTGAAAGCAGGAAGAGATTGCCTGTCTTCCAGCCAAATCCAGCCTCCAAAATGATCCAGGTTCTCTTGGTAACTATATGCTTAGCAGTCTTTCCTTATCAAGGTAAGATGTTCTCTTTGGTTCCCTTGTTCAGATTCTTACTGCTAAAAGACTATTGCACTTAACAGATTGCTATGTTGATGGGTTTTGTTTGGGGTATTATTTTTGACAATTTGTCAAAATTTGCTCCACTTCAGTTTCTACAGATTTAGCAAAAGAATGCTCTCAAGGATCACATTTGTTCTAAAGTTACATAAATAGTTTCTTGGTATTTGCTTAAATTTTGTCAAGCCATGAGCAGATCCTAAGAAAGAAAAGTCCTAAGATCTTCAAAAAAAAAAAGCATGTTGAAGTTGGAGAGAACATTTTCCAATGATGTGAGTTTAAAAAAAAGGATTAGAAGACTGAAGAGGACAGAGAGAGACAGAGTTTGTGGCAAGAAAATTTCAGAAAGCAAAATGTTAAAGAAAAATAAAGTGTTTTTGGTTTTAATTTTTTTTCAATAGGTCAGTTAGACACCCTATAATTAAACATGCATAATATTCACCCAAACAAAAGCTAGTGCTATTGTTACAAAGAATCTACAAACCATGCCAGTTGACCAGTCTATGGCTCTTCTTCCTGTCTCCCAAGTCATTCCACATATCATTACAAACAACAATACTCCATTGATTTAGAAGTTGCTAAAAACAATTAAGGGTTAGCCCTGTTTTTTGTTTTCTTTTAAATAGCAATGAAAGATGGGCTTGCCCTTACCAGAAGTAATTTATGGAGAACAATATAGGAAAGAAGAAAGGTAGATGGAAGGGAAATTGCTGCTTTTTCTGTGCTCTAACAAGAGAGGAATAGTAAGCTTGCTTGCTAGTAGGTGGAACTGAATCTCTCCCATGATACTGGGAGCATCAGGTACAAATGGGTAGTACAAAAATAGGTATGAGGAAGATGTATTCTTCTGTCTGGGGCTGCCCATCAGTCTGAGAAGACACATTTCCAGGGCCAAATCCTAGTTTCTCTGTCTCTCTATCTCTGTTTCTGTCTCTGTCTCTGTATGTCTCTGTCTCAATTCTGTAGGTGTTTGGCTAGCAGTTTCTTTCCCATACCCTGTGGTTATTGATATTTCAGTTTATTCTTTTGTTTCCACTTGCAATTATAAGCACAACCTTACCCCCTCCCTTCCATTAATCCGCTAACAAATCTTGGTCTCAGTTGTGATTGTGGATCCAAGAGGACCTGCAGGTGTCAGACTGCCACATTTACAAAATAAGTTAAGGAACAAATAGCAGGTGACCATGCAATGTCCATATGGGGACCAACTCTGAATTTTTCAGCTATTAGTTTAATTCACTACATTATTTACATGTTGTTAGGTGCTCCTGTGATAATTATGATGCTGTGGGCTGTCCATAGATTCTTTTGAAAGTGAAAGAAAGGAAAGTCAGAAAAACAATTAGGATGGCAGCGAAATAGAAGTTCAACTGAAAGAAATTCTTGATAAGCTGCATTTGCATAGAAATCTAAGTTTGCCTAGCTTTTTGACTAATTGATATGCTAAACCATAATGCAGTATGGTTTACTGAATTGTGTGAATCAGATTATTGTCATTTACAATTCCTGGTGTTATTCTTATCGCTCAGTGCACAAACTTGCACATTGGTTGAGATTTATTTATTTATTTATTTATTTTACTGATTATTCAAGCTCCAAAATGTTTCTTTTGTACCTGCCCAAAGCAATGTCTCCAGTTAGACTTCCAGCTCCCAAACATGATTCAGCAAATCGCATTCCCAGAGAAAATCTGGATTTCTGTGCTGTGTCCCACTAGAAAAAGATTTCACTCTTCACTGATAACTGAATAACAAATTGTGTTGTGGATATGAAAATGGTAGAATAACATCCCAAAGTAAACCAAACCTTACTTTTCTTTTTCCTTACGAAGGGAGCTCTATAATCCTGGAATCTGGGAACGTGGATGATTATGAAGTCGTGTATCCACGAAAAGTCACTGCATTGCCCAAAGGAGCCGTTCAGCCAAAGGTAAGAAAAAGATCTTTGTTTCATCAGCAAATGATTTCTTGTCAGCCCACAGAAATTTTGATATTCCTTTGCTGCCATCTGATGGTTATCTGGATTTCGCATTGCAATCTAATGTTCCTGCTTGAATTATTTATTTATTTATTTGTTAAACAAACAAATTTAAAGTGAATTAAACTAATTTATATGGCCTTCCAATTCACACAAAATTGAGGAGACTCCTGGCAATTTACAAACAGAATTTCCTAATATGCATAGATTAGTATAACTAAGAAAGTGTTGGGAGACCCCCAGCCGTTCAGTGAGGAGGGATCAAGTACAGAATTAGCCATGAGTCATTTCACAGCTTTAACAGATGCAGGACAGACATCCCCCTCCCCTAAACCAGGAAATTCCATTAAAGTTTATCTATCAGTTCTGAAGGGAAGGGCAGAAGTCTAGGGAGATTCCTGTATTATAGGCAGAATACAGTAAAGTACATAATTTAAACTCTGCATCACTTAGAAATATAAAAGATGTGTTTCTAGGGGAAGATGGTATAGTGGTCACAGCTCAAGATTAGGACTAAGAATTTATGCAGGAATGTCATTTTAAGATCTTACGGTTCAAAGCGCCAGATGAAATACTCTAAATCTCACGAATAATTTGACTATGGCAAATTATTCATTAGATTTAAATTGATACAGGTGTAGAGTTGTTAAGAGGGTGCACATTTTATTTGCCTAATTTTTTAAGAAGTAAACCCTGAACTCTTTGCTTTTCAGTATGAAGACACCATGCAATATGAATTTAAAGTGAATGAAGAGCCAGTGGTCCTTCACCTGGAAAAAAATAAGTACGTTAACTCAGATTTTTTCTTAACTTTACTTGGTCAATGTGGAAAATGTATATTCCTGGACACAATCTAAAAGAAATAATAATGGCATTCCTTTGTTTGGAAATTAAAACTAAATTAAATGTTACTGTGTAGGAAAAGTGGATATACATATTGAATATGCTAAATTCTAATCTGTGCTTTAGAAGTTGAAGTTGAATATGAAGGCTATACAGAAATTCAAGGGTAGCATCTGGATGATCTTGTTTTGGCATGGAAGCCAAGCAGGGCTACGGGGGGAAGGCCAGCAAGGATTTCTAGATTGCAAAAATGGAAGGCAATGCCAAGTGAATGGATGAGATATCAGGAGTGGAAAGTGACTCCATACATTGGTTTAAAGCTTCAAGAGAGATGCTTCTGTATGAAGGTTCAAGGCATCCATTTCCTTGAGGTTGCTTCATTTTACTCTTTAGTAAATAGAGCTATACTGCTCTCCTTTATAGACCAACAGATTCATAGTTGCATAGACCAAAAGAATAAAAGGAAGACGCAAAACAAAATGTCTTCTCCTGGTCAATCATTCTCCTCTGAGCCTTGATTAAGAGAATTGCACAACTTCTTTGGTGTAAATCTTTCTTCGGGTGAATCTAGTATGCACAGCCCTCCTCTTAAATAGCCATGGGATTGAAATACCTGCTCCATTCTTTTGATACCAAAGAAGATGTTTAAAATGCCATTATACAGAAGTTGTGAACTTATTATAAAATTATCTCAGTCCTACTTAATTCCTGACATAGATATTCTCTTCTTTGCAGAGGACTTTTTTCAGAAGATTACAGCGAGACTCATTATTCCCCTGATGGCAGAGAAATTACAACAAACCCTCCGGTTGAGGTGGGGTCTCACATTTAAGAGTCTTGCTTTTAGGAAGTAAATTGAAGCAAATGTTTGTGCACAATATTACAAATATACAAGAACGAGACTAGGCTACTCAAAAAAGAAGGGCTATATATGTATGAAGTATCTTATATTGATATGTACTTATAAGGATGTATGGATTTTGAACCCAGTTTGTTTTACTCATTGAATTACCATGGCAGTATTTCAATCATCCAGTTCTTTCCTACTGGTTGAAAGCCAACATTTTGGGGAGTGAGTTTCACAAATGGATTTATTATGAGAACATCAGGTTTATAAGATCTATATTTTCATTTTTAAACCAGACTACAGTGATACATGCAAAATCTTTTATTTGTAATACCAAACCTGATAACAATTCACTTTGCTCCTATACAGAAATCCATATAATATCTTTCATATTAAAATGGTCCAGAACGTGGCCCTACCAGCTGCAAAAAATATGACAGCACTAACATGCTTCTTGAAGTCCTTCGCTCCTTGCCCCCAAATTGATCTAAAAGTGCATCCTCTGTCTCCAAAAATTATCTACTTTTGGCTTAGCATCTTCAAAGGTCATACAAATTGCTCCTATTTAGTGTGTAACAGAAATCTCTTGATTTTAATGTCTACATGGATCCTGCTTCCAGATAATGCTAGGAATTATATCTCTCTGTATATTCTGAAACTTTCCTTGTGTGAGCTCAGGAAAATAATGATCATTTGGTATCATTAGTAAATGTGGAATTTTCCATACATTATGGTAAGATTTCAGAACGTAGGACAACCATCAAGTCTGAAAGTTTCTTCAGCAAATCCTGTGGTTCAGCACTAGAGTTGACCTCCAAGAGAACATTTTATATTTGTATGTTGGTTGTCTGCCCAAAAGTTCTTAGTTTTGTGTCATCAGTGGGACTCCCCCTACAGTGTGACTTGATTTATGGAGAGTTGCATTTATCCTATGTTCATTTTGCAACAATCAATATTAAGTAGGTCTTCTGTCCACCTGAATCAAAGTTTTCTGAATAACTGCTGTCTTAATATTTCCTTGATGTGGTGGAATACATTGGAACTGTACTTCTGCTCATCAAATCACACTACAAACAAGCTTTAACCAGTTTAGTCCTCTTGCCTCCCTCCAGGATCACTGCTATTATCATGGACGCATCCAGAATGATGCTGACTCAACTGCAAGCATCAGTGCATGCAATGGTTTGAAGTAAGATAATCTCTAATCTTTTATTTATTTTATTAAGAATAGTATACTGCTCTTGGAGTTGTCACAGTTAAAATGAGGGACATCAGTTTTTCATGCAAATGAGTTGGGTGTGATCCAAGACTTCTGCAGAATTAAGAAAGACTTTGGTGGAATACCAAGAAGAACTGCTGCCAGCCAATAGAGATACAAGGGAGCTAAATCAGATGTGTCTAAAGGAGCTTCCAAGCCCTTGTCTCCTTTACATATAGGAAGTGATGTTACAGGTAGAGAAGATAAGTAGGTTTCAGATTGCTTTCCTTTCTAGAAAGTGTACAGGAAGAGGCAAGCAGACTCTTCAGTTCTACCCAGAAACACTTTCTTGAGACCCTCTGCACACCTTCTCCAGCCAGCCTGATATCTTAGCCACATAAAAATCCCAAAATTCAGAAGGTCCTTTTCATTAGTCAGAATCAATGTCCTCTCTATATCTGATACTGAAGGAAGACACTGAAAGATCCCCTTTGAACAGAGTCTGTGTCCATGCAGTGGAAGAATAAATGAAAAAATGGAACATAAAAGAAAAACAACAGAATAATAAAGGAAAAGCGGAATGACAGAATAACATCATTGGAAGGGACCTTGGAGGTCTTCTAATCCAACATCCTGCTCAAGTAGGATATCTATATCATTCTAGACAAATGGCTTTCAATCTCTTCTTAAAAATCAGTAGTGATGGAATATCCACAACATCTGAATGCAAACTTTTCCACTGGTTAATTGTTTCAATTATCAGAAATTTTCTCTTTAGTTCTAGGTTGGTTCTCTCCTTGATTACTTTCCATCCATTGCTTCTTCTCCTGCCATCAGGTGATTTGGAGAATAGGTTGTCCCACATTGAAAGACTATCATGTCATCTCTACTCCTTTTTGTGATTAGCCTGAATGTACCCAGTTCCTGCAACCATTCATCCAGCTCCTGTTGGTCTGCATTTTATTCTTCAGTGTTATTCAAGTTATTCTGCATTGCAGTATTAAGAAGGGATTTAAAAACACAGAGAATGTTGACTTAATTAGTTAAAAATGGGTCTCAGAGCTGAGTTTCATTACCCAACTAGCTAACATCATCAGTGCAGGTTATCTCTGACCTAACAATATTCTCTTCTGTTGCTTCTCCATCTCTGATCACCCTTTTCCACATTGTTTTACAGAGGACATTTCAAGCTTCAAGGGGAGATGTACTTTATTGAACCCTTGAAGCTTCCCGACAGTGAAGCCCATGCAGTCTACAAATATGAAAACATAGAAAAGGAGGACGAGGCCCCCAAAATGTGTGGGGTAACCGAGACTAATTGGGAATCAGATGAGCCCATCAAAAAGGCCTCTCAGTTAAATCTTACTCCTCATGTAAGTCTCATAGCAAACATGATTTGAGAACTGGGATTCATTTACTTGTTTCTAAAATGTAAAGTAAGAGAGAAATTCTTTGGGGAGGGGTGATTAGATAGAATTCCAAAGGGAGGAGCCCCCATTTCTATTTTTTTATTTTAGCCATGGTATAAAAGAAATAATGGAAACTTGATGAACAGAAAATACACTTTCCAGGCTTATAGCATTTTCTTTGATCATGCAGATATGAATCAAAATGGATTTAAATGAGTCTCCAAATCAACTCCACTTTCTAAGTCAATTTTGAAAAGTAATCAAATCATCAATTTTGATGCCTCTTTTATGCATGCAGAGAGGACTTGGAATAGGGGGAGAAACTGGTTTGAAATATTTAACTGTTTTGAGATGTTTGATAACAGCATTACATAATCTTGACTCCGTTTTCCAATTTGATTTGAATCATCAAGTTGGATTGTCAATGATTGAATGAATATTGACAAATTGAATCTGGTCACAATTGACCCTCATACTCCCAATATTTTCCTTCTTTACTGAAAGCACAAGAATTAGAAAACAAAACATTGCATCCAAAGTAACAGTTCCTTCCTTTCCTTTTGGTGGCAAAAGATGAAACTGCGTGATACATATCTAGAAGTTCAAAATCTCAAAATTTTTAATTAAAATGTTAAAACTGACATGGAACAACAGTTGTTGTTACAATGGAATACCAAAAGACAAGTGAAGATGCCAAAACTGATTATGAAGTCTGGTTTGCCTTTTGGCTTCAGTGTCTCTGGAAATTCAAGATTCTTTATCTTCAGCAAGTTGTGGTTATATACATTAATTGGTCCTCTATCTTGAATGTTCTTGTCTCAATGTCAGGTCATCATCCCTTTATTCAAACTGGATCTTGTGCAGCAGAGTTAAGAAAGTGGCTGTCAGAGAGCAAGGAGAGAAATTGCACTCTGGAATTGGCAATTTGGCCTTGTAGTTCTGTGTGCTGAAAAAACACAAGTACACTTTCCTAGGGAAAGAAGCAAGTAACGCACCCTCACACATTCAGGTCTTAGCATAAGTCTACTTCCTGAGCAATCTGTGTCCTCTACTGGTGGAATCTAACAGGGGAATGCAGGAGGGAGGGGCTCTTTCCCAGGGAAACAAGAGGCAGATCAGCAATGAGTCCTTGGATGGCAGAAAGAAGCCCTGAAGGGATCCTCCCTAAAACCTTCACATGTGTATCTCATGATTACACACAGTGTGCTTTAGTCTGGCAAGATCCCCATCTATACGAGAACAGCAATAAAGAAAGTACTCTGAGCAATTAACCATGTTTTCTTGTTCCTTCTGCCTGAGAAGTCTGAAACAATATTTCAATAATCATTTTAAAGTTACATCACAATAAAGGCACAATTCTTTGGCCATTCAGAGTGAGTTCAGTGGGTCAAAATGTCTGATTGCCTCCCCTTACCTTGTCTTTGATGCGTAGTGTGATATGATTGCAGGCAAGGTCTAATTGGTTCCATAGAATGATCACATCACCGTATTTCTCACGTGATTGGTTGGGATCCTTTGTTTGAGAAAGGGAAGGAAAGGTGAAAAAGTCATTGGAGCATCATTTAGACAGGCTGAAAAACAGGTCAAAGAGAGCAATTTCCTCACGTGTCTGTTCTTATTCCTATTAAATTCGGTTCAGAATTAGGTATTCATATATACCTTTATCTTTAAATGTAGCCATCATAAATTCCAAAAACAGATTAACTGGAAACAATTGCCACACCTTATTAATACAAAGAAAGTGTATTTTGTTTGTGCTTGACAATCCATTGCATAATGTACTTTTTCCTCAAAACTTTATCAGCACTTTCTCTAAGTCAGAGTTCCCCAACCTTTCCAGCTTTGCGTACAGGTGGGGGGGGGAGGGGATGGTTCCACGTGAGCAGCGGGGTCATGTATGCACCCAGCTCTATTTGTGTGAGCAGTGGGCACACGCACCCACTCATGCAAATGGAGCACACCCACCCATGCTTGCTCACCGGTCATGCAAGTGGAGATGCAGGCGCTCAGCTGCCACTTCCATGCCCCCATTCGGAAGGGCTCAAGGCCCAGGGATAAAATTTTAACAAGCTGTCTCCCTATAAATGTCTTCTTGAAAGAACCAATATTTCTGAAAGTTCAAGTATTTTGACCAGAGAGTAAAACAAGCACTTTTCTGATTATCTGATGATGACCAATATTCTTGTTGGCTGCTGGAAGCAACATGTCTAAATAGCCTTTTCTTTATTGTTCTGTTTAGGAAAAAAGATTCATTGAGCTTGTCATAGTTGCGGACCACAGAATGGTAAGTATCCTGGATATCTTTCCATTTTCTTTCTGCATTGAGCACAGCATTTTGTTTGTGGCTTTTTTAATGTGGGCATTTTTGAAGAGACTAATAAACATCCTAACTGGCTGTCTCTTAAAATGTGCTTTATCATAAACTTTGATATATTTTTTTTTTGTTATTGAACCCAACTAATATTTACAAAGTTAAGGATCATTTGTAAATATACTCTAATTTGCACATTTGTTCTTCCTGGATACCATCTAAATTTATTTTTATCCCACACTAATTAAACAGTTCTGTAGCTTTCTTTGAAACATTCCTGCACTCTTTGTTTGTCCAAATTATACAACATACGAACAAAAAGATGTATAGTGAAGAATGCTTATCTCACACATCTCTGAACTTGGAAATATAGCATCCAATTTAGGAAATTATTTCAGTAGGCTGACCAAACTTTTCTCCAACCAGGAAAAAAGCCTATGTATGCTGCTGAAAAGTTAAAAACCTTAATATATTAATGGCACAAATGTAGATTAAAAAAACAGCACAAAAGAATTCTTTGGATTGCTTGGACAAAAATTATTTTTATCTTTTCTGTAGTTCACGAAATACGAAGGTGATGAAACTGAGATATGTTCAAGAATATATGAAAGTGTCAACGCTTTAAATGTGGTAAGAGGACATGGCATGGTAACTAGGTTAATAAGCCTCTTATGGGAATGCAGCCACTGTGTTGGGAGGATGCAAATCCAAAAGTGTTGCAAGAATTCAATCAGGGCTATATCTGTAGCTGGATTCTTTCAGGCTGTGGTTAATTGTTCTCAACTGGGAAATTAGAAAGAGATGGACAGAGTCAGCCTATTCCAAGCTCAGTTGATTATGAAACTAATCTCTGAGAAGAAACCTGCTTATAGAAGCCAATGTCAATTGTTTTTTAATCTTGAAATGTTTCTCAAAGTTTACCTATGTTTGAGTTTCTGATTGATGCCATGTCCACCTGACAGATTTTCAGAGCTTTGTATATTAGTATAGCTCTGATTGGCGTAGAAATTTGGTCCAGTGGAGATTTGATGTCCGTGACATTATCAGCAGATGAGACTTTGGAGTCATTTGGAGAATGGAGAAGAAGACATTTTCTGAAGCGCAAAAGACATGATAATGCTCAGTTACTCACGTACGTCTCACTGTGGGAAAAGGGAGTGGGGGTGGCTGGGAGTGGAGGGTTATGGGGAGGTTAGTGCTTGCACAGAGCACTTTTTTTTTTTTTGTAGACGAGAGCTGGTTTTGAGAAGGCCTTGAATGAGTGCAGGTGAAAAACTCAGCTTGATTTCATTTCACCTGGATTTAAAATTGAATCTTATATGATTATCCTGCTATACTTTTGCTCTACTTACACATGCATTTTTAAATCAATTAAATAATGTTTTGGTTCACATTCTGCACCAAGTAAATGAACACTTGCATTATACAACAGATAAACCAAGAATAAAGTAAAATAATAAAATATCCAATCTATATATAGTGCTGAGCAATATATACATATACATGTGTGTGTGTGTGTGTGTGTGTGTGACTGTTTCCATGCCAGTCATATTCGACTCTAGGGGTTTGTGCTCAACTCTGATTCACAGCTGAAGAGCCCGCATTGTCCAAAGATGCTTCCATGGTCATGTGGCCAGCATGATCAAATGCCAAAAGCACATGGAATGCTATTACCTTCCCACCAAAATGGTACCTATTTATCTACTTGTGTTTCTGTGCTTTTGAACTGCTAGGCTGGCCAGAGATGGAGGAAGTAACAGGAGCGCACTGCATCAGGCAGAACTTGGGTCTCAAACTGTCCACCTTCCAGTCAACAAGCCCACTGTTTTAACTGCTCAGTTCCACACCCCATCAGCCTATATATCATGAGTGTAAAATTGACATGTTTATTGTGTTATAACTGTAAGATATTGCTCAAGTAACAATTGTGTGGTTAGCAATCTTACAGGATATGTGCATAACAAGTAGGTCTTATGAAATATGGAAGGGGCTAGATAGAGGGCACGTCTAAGTGCAAGGGAGAATATTAAGTACTACCCCAAAAAAATCCATTTTATTTTCCCACAGAAGTTGATTTGACTTGTCATCCAGTCATCTTTTCCAATATCATCTAGTGTTCAATAACCCCACAGCTAAATTGTTAGACAAAATGTATTAAATAAATATGTATTTGGGGTTTCCATAGTTAATGGGATTTAAACTAACCCAATGGGCTGGATTCAGACAACATGCTAACCCCTCTCCCCAACCTCATTCATGCTAACACCAGCAAGACTCACCATACAGTGAAAATGCATCCTGAATATTTTTAACAGACCTGATTAGTTAAACGGCTTCTGAGACTAGAGCCTAAAATGAATTCTAACATTCTGAAAACTGGTAGTAAATGAGGATGGGATGAGGGGTTTGCAAAAAGCCATAGAAAGTTATGTATGCCCCTACATAATGTGCTTCTATCTTATATAAATTTTATCCCCCTCCCCATCTTCCTTATAGGGGCATGATCTTCAATGAAAAAATTGAAGGAAGGGCTTACAAAAAGAGCATGTGCGACCCGAAGCGTTCTGTAGGAATTGTTCAGGTTAGTACAAAGGATACCTGTTATATATTTGTACTCAGGTGAAAACTTACATACAGGCAAAACTTCTTTACAAATGAAGTCTCTTCTTATTTTTGATCCACGTCATTTTCATCCATACTTATTTATGGATTTGACATCTCCAGGTCCTGCCTCAACTGATGGCATTTTGGCACAAAGCATTCTAGATATTTGTAGAATAAGCTTTTTCTATGCAATGAGCTATATGTCGAAGACAACAATATATTATAATGTTTCTGGATCAGGAGGAGTCAAACTGTGCTTTAATTGGCAAATGAGCAGGTGAAATCATGTTGCAATACTTCCAAATAATGCTTCTGAACAATATTCTTAGCAATCCTAATGACAAACATGAATCACCCTACTTTCATTCCAAGAAATTTAGTATCTAGATTGCATATGACTGAATTCTAGTACATTGAGAAAATGAAAGAATACTAAATCTACTTAAAAAGAAAAAACTCCAGTATTTTAAGAAAACCATATCAGTTAACGTGGTGCTATGCATTTACTGAGAAACAGTTAACTTAGCTTTTTGCTCATGTAGAAAGATTGGAGAGACATGGCAATAAACAAAACTTATACAACAAAACTCATAAAGTTTTGTTTCTTAATAAGTAGAGTTAGGATCCTGGTAGTACGAGGTATTTGTAAGCCTGCTTGCTCAAGAAGGTCATTTTATTCAGAAAGAGCAACTCATTTTTAGGTCTGTTTAGGATGGCTACCTTTAATATTCTGAAAATGCTAGCTTGTAGCAAAAGACACTGAATAGTTTTTGGACTGAAGTTGCCTGTAAGTTTTAGTAACTGAATAAATGCAGACAGCAAATGGATGCGTAAGTTTTGATCTTCTCCTGTGCTGTAGCTTCTGGGCTTTAAAGTTTCCTTCTAGATGTATTTGTGTATGTTCTGGAGTCTTGGTGGGCACAGATACATTCAGAAGAGCTAGAGGAATCCTAAAATGGTATCTTTAAAATTGGTCACTTAGTCACCAGTTTTAGCCACTTAGTGCTAAAAATAATTGGATTCACTTTCAGTTTCTTGGTGGAGTAACAATAAACAAAGTATTATCTTTTCTTCAGGATCATAGAAGTAGATATCATTTTGTTGCAAATAGAATGGCCCATGAGCTGGGTCATAATCTGGGCCTTCATCATGACAGAGATTCCTGTTCTTGCGGTGCTAACTCATGCATTATGTCTGAGACAGTAAGGTAAGGATTGAGGAAAACTTTTAATGCCTTTCCAATGAAGTTATTTTTAAATGGTTGCAATTAATTGTTGAATAAAATATGCTGAGAACGTACAAAAATGAAATGGCCAGGGAGTTACAAAAAAGGAGGGTTTTGGTCATTTGTGTGTCACTTTACCATGTGTAGTTAAAATGTGTCGTATTTAAAAAGGTAGAAATGTTCTCAACAATTGAATAGCCAGCATTCAGTAGCTTCCTCCAAAACACCAGAGTTTAAAGAAACAGCGTAGGAAGGATAGCCAAAGAAACCAAATATTAATATCTGTGATGGATAAAAGAGGAAACCAAGTTAGACATTAAAGTCTTTCCTAAAGTGGGAAGCAGAATGGGGGAAAAATTATTCTGAACCAGGCAACAGCAGGAAGAAAAGGATAAATTACCATCCTTGGGGTTTTCCTGCCTCGCCGTTCATCAAGGTAGAATATGTTACATCTCTGTTATATATTGCAGTCTTCTGAAATCAGCAGGTAGCAACGTACAGGAAGTCATTGACTTACAACCAGTTGTTTAGCAACCGTTCAAAGTTACAATGGCCCTGAGAACAATGACTTACGACCGGTCCTCGCAATTACAGCCATCACAGCCTCCCTTCAGTCACAGAATTGTGTATTTATGACACTTGCAGCATCCTTCATTCATGGGATCCTCATTTGGGACTTTCCCAGCTGTCTTCCCATATGCAAAGCCAATGGAGCAAGCTGGGTCCCTTATTGACTGTGTGGTTCACTTAACAAAGTGGGAAAACTGGTTGTAAAACTCAGCACGACTCACTTAACAACTGGCTTGCTGGGCAATGGAAATTCTGGTCCCAGCTGTGACAGCAAGTCAAGGACTACCAATATTTTCTTCTGGGTGCAAGTTTAGCCCTTACTTCATCAAGAAGGAAAAAGAAAAGGAAAAAGGAAGCAAAATCTTCTTAGCAATTGTCAGTTGCAAAACTCCCCATAACTTTTGTGTAAGCGTTTTGTGTAGGCTCAGTGAGCATCCCAGCTATTGATCAATTTCTGGTTTCTTTGGCTAAAGCCCGAGGACTTCTTTGCCTCCCATTTCATGCAATGGCAAGGAGGCCAGGGAGTATGGAGAATGCCATGTAGCCTTTCCTGTCCTTCCTGAAGTATTCCTGGGCATCATAATTATTTTTTAATACTTCTAGACACTTCATGATGTTTTGTACGGAAGACTTTGCTTAGAAAACAATTTTGCTCAATTAACCCTATAGAAGGGGTCTGGTGCAACTTTGACCTTGGAAGAAGACCATCTTGTCTATTTAATGGCCACTAGCAGATTCTCTTTGCGTTCTTGTTTCCACCCCCTAACTTGAGGGCCAATGATTATATTCCTAATGATTTGAATTAACATTAGGAAGGTGCTTTGCTGGGCTTAGGATGCCATCTTTGCATCTATTTAAGTATGCAGCTTCAGAGGTCAGTGGCATGTTGCTGATATTATCACTTTTCAACAAAAGAAATCAAAAACAAATACTTTAAGGCAAATAGAAAATTAGCATACTTAGCTCTCTATTCATTGTTATAAAAAGTGTTGTCCCTCCAAACGAAGAAAAGAAAAACTGGATCAAAATTCCACTATTTTCCCTTCAGTTACATTATTTTCTTTCCACAGAGAGACTGACTAAAAATGAAAATAAAAGGCAGCCCATTCAAACACAAGATGCAGCTCAATCAACTAATATCACATGGAGTTCTCGTTACAAATGTATTTTGTTAAAAAAAGAAAGGAAAGTTAGTGGAATTAAACTGAGGGAGCATAATCTGGGACTAAGATCAAGGGCTACAAAGGGTTCTCTTATCTATTTTGTTGGCTTTAGAGGGAAAAAAATACTACGTTTCTTCATTAACCATCCCTTTTCCATCTTATATGTTTTTGCAATGAATTCTGTTCCTAGTCCAAATATGGATGTTGTCATGGTTTTATTTTGGTTCATCTCTACAGCAACGAACCTTCCAGTCGGTTCAGCGATTGTAGTGTTAATCAATATTCGAGTGATATTATTAATATTCATCGTTGCCTTTACAATGAACCCTCGAAGACAGATATTGTTTCACCTCCAGTTTGTGGCAATTACTATGTGGAGGTGGGAGAAGATTGTGACTGTGGCCCTCCTGCAGTAAGTCTTTTTTTTAATCAACAAGAACCAGTTGTAGAGGAATGGTATTTTTTAAAAAATGGTTGATTGACCACTTCCCAAAAAATCCTTCCCTCCTGAAAACTCCTATTTTGTCAACATGGCCTCATTATCTGTCCCACTATTTTCTTGAGCTGCTTTCTCCCATATCTGATGGTCTTTAATCTATGCTCTGATCCTAATAATATTTTTATAAGAACAGTAATTTAATGTTCTTTTTATATTGTTAAATACACTTATAATGGTCTGTGAGAATGTCCTTGAGAGACAAAAGAAGGAGGAAATGTCTACTCAATGGTCATATAAGACGTAGATTAGCCTGCAGAAGCAATGGGGCCTGGCAAACATCTCAAGAAGAACACCTCCCACCCATTCTCTTGGTCCGTAAAGATGAGGTGGTAGAAATGTAGTTTCAGTATTGAAAGATTCTGCTACTGTAACCTTACAATCAGGGTAGTGTTAATACTCATGGTTGGTGCTTCTTCT